AAAAAAAAATAAATGTTCATTATGTGAATAGAAAAAAAAAAAAAAGAAATCACTGACTCTTTGGGCCCACCCAAGTGTCCAGTGGGTGACCTTTTGATATCAGGAGGTCAAAACCTCTACTCTTAGATCATGCTAGTGCCACCACTTTCTGAACATGTGTCCCATGAAAAGCCACAAAGTCTGATTACATAGATTACAATTATTTCACTTCCAATCACTTTTCCCCACATCTGAAATCACTCTACGTCTTTATCCCGCGAACATCCAAGAAACCCTTATCCTTAGGGAGGAGGATTTGAGACTTGGGTCTTTCCCATCATGCTTGGCCACCTTGCAAATAAACTTTTTGACTTTTGCAAAACTTTTATCTCAGTGATGGATATACTGTTTGGTGGGCAAAAGAAGCCTGGTTTGTTAACAGTTTCTTCAATAAATGGTGCTTGGGAAAACTAAATATCCACATGCAGAAAAATGAAATTAGGCCTATATCTCACACTATATAAAAATCAATTAAAAATAGATTAATGTCTTAAAGGTAAAAGCTGAACTATGAACCTACTAGAAGAAAACATAGGGAAAAAACTCCATGACATTGATGTAGGTAAGGACTTTTTAGATAAGACTCCCATACATGGGTAACATAAGCAAAACTAGACAAATGAAATTATATAAAACTAAACTCTATACAATCAACAGAGTAAAGAAACATCTTACAGAGTAGGAGAAAATCTTTGCAAACTATGTCTGATAAGGAATTCAAAATATACAGGAATTCAACTCAATAGCAAAAAAGCCCAAATAACTTGACTGAAGAATAGGCAAAAGAACTCTAATAGAAATTTCTCAAAAGATGACCTACTGCTGGGCACATGGTGCACACCTGTAATCCCAGCAACTTGGAAGACTAAGATGGGAAGATCGCAAGTTCAAAGCCAGCCTCAGCAACTTAGTGAAGTCCTGGGCAACTTAGTAAGACCTTGTCTCAAAATAAAAAAAAAATAAAATTAAAAAAAGGTCTGGGGATGTGGCTCAGTGGTCAAGTACCCCTGTGTAAAAAAGCAGACGACATTCAAATGACTAATAGGTATATGAAAAAAATGCTCAAAATCAGGGAAAGGTGAGTTAAAACCACAATGGCTAGTTAGAATGGCTATTATCAGAGAAGATAATAAGTGTTAGCAAGAAAGTGGAAAAAAAGGAAACCTTTGCAGGTTATTGGTGGAAATGCAAATTAAAGTATAACCAGTAAGGAAAATAGCATAGTAGTTCCTCAAAGAAGAAAAAATTGAACCGTTATACATTCCAGCAACCCTACTACCAGGTATATATCCAGTGAAATCAGTGTCTAAAGGACATTTGCATTCCCATGTTCATTTTAGCACTAGTTACAAGAGGCAAAATGTAGATTCTACCTAAATGTTCATCAACAGACGAATGCATAAAAAAAATGTGGTATAAAAATATAATGGAATTGGGGCTGGGGTTGTGACTCAGTGGTAGAGTGCTCGCCTAGCATGCATGAGACACTGGGTTCAATCCTCAGCACCACATAAAATCAAAATAATGTGTCTGCCTAAAAAACTAAAGATACATAAATAAATAAATGTTTAAAAAAATATAATGGAACATTATTCAGACTTAAAAAAGGAGCCTACCATTTGCAACACAGATAAACCTGAAAATGTTTAATATTATTCAGACTTATAAAGGAGAGCCTACCATTTGCAACATAGATAAACCTGAAGGGCATTATATTAAGTGAAGTAAGTTGGACACAGAAGGACAAACTCTGCATGGTCTCACTCATGGGAAATTTAAGAAAAGCTGACCCCACAAAAGTTGAGAGTAGAATAATCGTTATGAAAGGCTGGGAAAGGGCTAGGTGGATTGGTTGATGGGTACAATATTACAGTTAGAAGTAATAAATTCTAGTGTTCTTTTGTATAGTAGGGCGACTACAGTTAAAAATAACTTTATTATATATTTCAAAAAGGTAGAAGAGGGGAAATTCTGAATGTTCTCACCACAAAGAAATGATAATGGTTAGAATGATGGGTATGCTAATTACTCAGATTTGATAATTATATAAAGTACACATGTATCAAAACATATTATATCCCTAAATACTTACAATTATGACAATCAAAAATAATACAATTATGTTTATAAACATTAAACTTTATAAATCAGTTCATGAAGTATATTTATAATATTTCTTTTCCCCATCCATTCATTCACGCAATTCTATCAGCTTAAAAAATACATAAATGTAACACAATCAGCTCCATTAATTTTAACTGGCTGAGAGGGTCTCAGAAGACTAATACACCTTGAATACTGAACCAATTTCCCTTCTGTTCTCTGACTTATTGCTGTTCTTAAAGAGACTCCAGAGGCAATTTTTACCTCTTCCTTTTTTAATAAGGATACATGTGATACACTGATATATGACTGATTTAACTCCTCTAGAAATTTAAGGGTCTAGCAAAAGCACCACCTAGTTAGCCACTCAACTCTCATCCACCAAATATTCATTTGTATTATGTGACAGACACTGGGGGCATAATGTTGTTCAAAACAGACATTTGCTTCTGTCCTCATGAAATTTACCGATACTTTATTAGAAGAGATTGTTCCCAGTGATTAAAGCAAGTCTGGCATTTTTCTTTCCATGAAAGGGAAAAATGAATAAGACACTTACTGCATCACTTAAGACTTCACTGTTTATAGGTAAGATGTGTTCAATTCGCACAAAAGGTAAGAGAGAAGAAAGGATCTCTCTAAGCTCTTCGATGTCCAGGTCTCGTCTTTTTACACCCCTTTTGTTCACACTGTGAGCAGTACCACTCAATAAGTTTGGTTCTATGAGACAGAAAATGAGAAGTCTACAACCAAATGCAAATTTTCAGACAGGCTTGCTTTCCTTCTACAGTACATATGCTCTAAGTACCACTACTTAAGTACATCTGCTTTAGAAGGGCTGTAAATCAATTATTTTTCAACATAAGGAGCTTGTTTAATAAACATGTGCTTGGATAAAAAGAAAGCATCATGTCCATGGAACAATAATATTCTTTTGGGACTGTTCTGTCTTGATAAAGGATTCTTCTTTGTATACCAACTCAAAGGAGAAAAGATGACAATCTATTAACATCAATCTGATCTCAATTTTGTGATCAGTTTTTATACATATATATTCATATATAAATATTTTATATATATATATTTTTGGGGGGGTAGGTTTTCAATATGTTCATCAGATTATATATTTTTAAATAGTAATTTTATAGCACTAATCACTTAGTACCCAAGGGAATAAAACCTAACGTACATTCTAATTTTAAGATTTTTATGAAAATCTAAATTTCAGTAACAAAGGAATGTTATTGCATGTAAGTGGACCCTTCGATCTTTGATGTGATGTATGTCCACTGTTTAGAGCAGAGAATAAAGGTTTCTTTATTGGTGAAAGAAGATCTAAACCATTTATGTGCTTATGATAGAGATGGGAAGAAAAAAACCCATAATTTTAGAAATATTTATTCATGCTTTTAATCTAAGGGGTTCCTCTAATTCCTTAAAAAAATCAACACTGAATAAGATCTTTATCATTCATAAATGTAAATGCTAGAAATTTCTAAATATTCTATAAACAAACTGATATCTTTCTTAAATTGTGGGGTATGTGTGTATGATGTTTTGAAAAGCTAAGCTGTTTCTGGAGTCACTCAAAATAAAATTGTAAGTCTGTGGGAAAGTATTTCCCCTTTTGCTTGCTGTGATTTAGCTTCATACTTACATAAAGGTATTATTTAAAAAAAAAAAAGACACGGCATCGTGTTTTCATATAAAATCTTACAGGAACTTCCCAAATATCTAATGGGTGAGGAAAAAACCCTTTGTAGAAGTGACTCTGAAATAAAGGTATAGTTTACTTAGCTTCCCTCTTATCCCTGCAGGATGCTCTATTCCAATCCAATCTGAAAACCTTTGAAGGGAAATTTTATCCTTTGAGGAAGCTTATTATTGCCCCCCCCCAAATATGACTTTTCATCATTACCAGCCTTACATTAGTAAACACACCTATGACCTCTAAGAATTATGCAGAGTTTTACACAACCCATTATTGTAATTTGTGATAGTTAAAAATTTGTGATAGATGTGATAATGACAAAAACAATGGACAAGCAAATACTGAAGTGGTCCTCCTAGGGGAAGCATAGGTTAGGTTCCTATTCACCTCTGGGCACAACATTTTTTTCAACTGATTAAGACATAACTTTGTTTTATGTGTTTCTGTTTAAAGATTCTTTGTTTTATATTATTCATTCATAACACTGAACTCATGGCCAATAGTGCTGTAACTCATGAATGCTGACGGAAGCTTTTCTTAATTTTATAGCACTAATCACTGTATTTTCTCCAGAAGGTGCATCACAGCCAACACTAAGACAACTCTTTAGCACTATAATTGGGGGCAACTTCAAACAGTGTGAACACTAATAAAAACATAAAAATATAACACAAAAATGTGAAAAAGGGCACTAAGTAGATTGTGAAAAGAACCCTTGATTATAGTAAATCTGAATAAGGTGAGATGTTGCTGCCTTGTTGGACTTAGCTGGAAACAGTCCTCGGTGGACTTCTAAAACTTCTACAGCTCTGTGCTGGTGCGTTAATCTTGAAAGTGCCATAAATATGAATTTTTGAGGTTACAAATGCATTTTATCAAGTAGATAAATTCACTAATACAGAATCTGCAAATAATAATAGACATTTGAAAAGCTTTCTGAATTAACTGTAGTGGTTTTTATATTTTGAATTTCAAATCTGAAGAAGGCTAAAGGCTTTTGTAGGCCACAGAAAAATAAATTAGGAAAAATACAATAGGAGGACTGGTTTTGTTTCCTAGTACTTGTGTAATAGCATGTTTAAGGGACCCTATTAAGAAGGTTTGAATTAGCACAAAATTTTTATGTTATTTAAAAATGTGACAGAACAACTATGTAAACGTGCTAAAAATCACTTACTTGAACATTTTAAATAGGTGCACTTTATGGTTACAAATTAGAATGTATTATAAATCATATCAAAATACATCTACTGAGTTGGGCGAGGTGGTGCATACCTGTAATCCCAGTGATTTGAGATTCTGAGGCAGGAGGACCACAAGTTTGAGACCAGCCTCAGCAACTTAGCAAGACTCCTGGCTCAAAATAAAAAATAAAAAGGGCTGGGGCATAGCCCAGTGGTAGAATGTCCCTGATTTTAATCTCCAGTACCACAACAAATAAGTAAACAAATCTATTTTAAAGTGATAGGAAAGGGAAATCTATTTAATTTTTCCAATTTAAAACCTTTTAGTTGGGTTCATTATATAGAGAAAAACAACACAGTATGAGGTGAGAGGAACTGGTGAGTGGCTAACAAATAAAAGACTGCTATAGAATCCTAAGTTGCCAAAGTCAAAAGCCCATTTCCATTTCCCTATGTATGATGATGTTACCCTTACTTATGTAACACTCCAGCTAGAGGTCTCTCAAATATATATTCTTTTACCTTCCATAACATTTTAAAATAAAATTGATTTTAAATATTTTAAAGCATGCAATTCAGTGACTTTTAGACATACATATTACTGTGCATCTATGAATACTACATTTTAATCAATAATGTGTGTGTGTGTGTGTGTGTGTGTGTGTGTGTATGTGTGTATGGTACTAGGGACTGAACCTAGGGGTGTACTACCACTGAGCTATGCCCTGAGGTCTTTTATTTTTTATTTTGAGACAGAGTCTCAGAAAGTTGCCATGGTTGGTGTCAAACTTGCCATCCTCATGCTTCAGCCTCCTAAGCAGAGCGATTTCAGGCATGCGACACCATAAGTGGCAACATTACACCTTTATAACACTTCAATCATTACATGAAACTTTTCATTCTAATATTTCCATGAATTACTAAACACATATTAAGCACAGACACATAATAAAGTTACTTTTTTTTTAAAGAGAGAAGAGAGAATTTTTTAATATTTATTTTTCAGTTTTCAGTGGACACAACATCTTTATTTTTCTGTGATGCTGAGGATCGAAACCAGCGCCCCGTGCATGCCAGGCAAGCACGTTACCGCTTGAGTCACATCCCCAGCCCCAAGTTACATTTTAAAGTTGCAAAATGAAACTTTAACAGCCTATACTCTACTTTTCTGACTGTAAAAAGTTATACATGCTGATTAGCACAAACTAATTTTCTGAACTTACCTCTGTCTGCTATTCTTTTCATCAACTGATGCTCTCCCCATTTAATCAGATATTTAAGGATATCTTGTTCACTTGCCTGCAATAAAAGTGGTTTGTATTTATTTTAGTGAAGTTAGATAAAGGGTCAACTTCACTGATAACTTTTCCTAGGTTGTTGCAACTTACCATTGTTTCCCTCTTTCTGTCAGCTGTTAGAAATTTTAGAGTTAAATCTGTTGTCCATCAACAACAAATATGCAAAACCACATTATAGATATTTATCCAGTAAAAACTCTTGGCTCCAGCGACATTTTTATTTCCACATTTTTTTTTTGCCTTTGCCTGTTCTTCCCTATTTATTTTATCTTACCATATGGTTTGTATACAATTACCTTATTTTTGAAAGTAAAAGTACAGTGATAGAGTTTATACTATCTCCTTCAAGGATGGGAAATACACATGTAGCAATTTGTGGCAGAGGAAACTGCAATCTCCATAAAGCATTTTATTGGTTGGTAAGAGTCTCGAAGCGCAACCTGGGAAGTGGCAATGTACCCCTCATTTCTTTGTACCTTATTTAAAATCATAGAGCAAATCTAAACTGCTCATCAAGTTTACATTGCTAAAACAGAATGCAAAGCTCCAAGAGTCAATAATTTGAAAGAACTGACAAACTCTAACTCCCCTAAACACAAAGTATCCAGGCTTGATCAGCACAGCGAGAGAAGGCTGGTAAACAAAAGCCTTCCACACATCAAGTCCAAGTGTGACAACATTTGTACTGCAATCAGATCAATATTGAAGGAAAGCACTGATGTCGAGTATATTATTGAACTTTTCGCTGCATTTTATGATTGAGATGATGGGTAGCACTGTATAATTCTTCTAGTACAAAGACATAGGAATTGTCTCAATGAGTTTGTGTTTGCAGCGTTAAAACTGTTGTTTAGTTTTAGCATGAAATTCACACAATCAATGCAAAACAACAACAACAACAACAAAAACCCAGCAAATTTAGTTGGATATACTTTACCTGAATAGTTCTTGCAATACTTAAAATCTTCTATGACTTTAAATCACCAAATAAGATTAACATATAGTCAAAGATACAAGATACTAAAAACTATTTTTTACTAAAAATGAATAGTTGAAAACATTAGTATACTTTGGCAGAACACATGTACTGAGTTTTTATAATCAGTTAAGCAGATGAGAAAGTGAATATTATTTGTATTTTGTTCTGCTTAAACTACTGCCTACAATCTAAATATCTGAGACGGCTGAAAGTAAGATACTATTATAGGGAATCCACTTTAGTGGAAGCCAAGAAAATTGCTGTTGGAATATGCTTCTGACCTTGCCTACTGCCTCACTTCTTTTGGTGTAGTTGGTTAAGTCCTGGTTTTGTTCATAATGTCAAGTCACAGTAGCAGTGTGCATGAGGAGCCAGTGAGGCAGAAGCCTGTGTTGTACAAATATGAAAAGGGCATTCCTAGGTGATTTGATCACAGCCTGTTTCTCTCCCCCTACTCTACCCCAGACAGAAGAACAGCAGAATACAGATGTATTTCTTGGTGCACATATGAATGACAATGAATTTGAGAGGGGTGTTAATGATTACCTGTAGATAGTCAGACTGGATAGCAGTAAGCAGATGGTCTTTGCTGAGTTCATAAAAAACATCCGAAGTCATGACCTGGGACAATTCCTCACAGAGGAAATGCAAAGCTTGCCGGTGCACCCACTTAGAGCCATATGGATGTGAGCTCCACTTGAGGATGGCAATTAAGGTATCTAATGAGATGCTCTCAGCAATGATATCCTCACAGCCTAAAAGAGAAGGCAAACACTTCTTGAGATTAATCATAAATATTACTTATTGAACATCAGTGTGTTAGGCTTAAAAGTAGCAATAGTAAAAAAGAACTCAAGGAGATAAAAATCTCATGGAAATCACCAAGACATGGTGGGATGGGATAGCAATAGATTATGACATCTTTAGGAAATATACTGCCCTACAGAGAGAGCAAACGGGCTGTAGAAAAAGGCAGAGAATCCTCCCAGTTGTTCAAGAAAATAAATATCTATATGCAAATCCAATAATTTGAATAAGACAGTATTATGGAAAGCACTGGACCAAAGAGAAAGAAGACTAGGAAGAAATGATACAGTTGTGGGAACTGGCCAAAGGAAGGATATGGGTGACAACTGATGGACAGAGCATCCCTACCTAATGAGAAGACAAGGAATATTTGTTCTTTGTACTGTCCTCATAATCTCTCCAAAAACAGACAAAATATCAAAAGTTCTATATTCATCTGGCCTAGTTCTTTCAAAAAGAAATAAGTGGCTTAAGTAAAAAGGGCTAGGATCCTAGAAGAAGTAACTTCTGGCATTTTAAAAGCTCAAGGAAGAAATCTGAGGATAGTCAGTTATTTTCCTTAGAAAAAGATAATATAAAGATAAGTATAAGTAAAATCTGAGTGACATTGTGGAAAGGAAAATAGTTGAAGTTGGGCAGAAACTCTTTCTTCACTAGGTTTACTATAAAATAAAATATGATTCTGATTAATGTGCAAAAAAAAAAAAGAAAAGAAAAGAAAAGAAAGAAATGCTGTGTGCAGTGGTGCACAACTGTAATCCCAGCTCAGGAGGCAGAGGCAGGAGGATTGCAAGTTCAAAGTCAGATTCATCAACTTAATGAAGCCCTAAGCAACTTAGAGATACCCTGTCTCAATAAAGAAAAAAAAAAAAGGCATTTAAACATCATCACCAACAATGAAAAAAATACAGTTACACAGACTGTTCTCCAATTACCTTAGAGTTTTAAAAGATAAAGCCCAAAGAAAGGGTATCAATAACTCCAGACTTTCAAAATTCAAAGCTATCTCTAAGACCATAAAACAAGATCAGTGGCAGCCAATAAGGCATCTACAAAAAGTAACGCCTCAGGGGCTGGGGTTTGGCTCAGTGGTAGAGCAACTGCCTGGCATATGTGAGGCACTGGGTTCAATTCTCAGTACCACATATAAATCAATAAAATAAAAGTCCACTGACAACTAAAAAATATTAAAAAAAAAAAAGTAATGCTTCCCTTCCCTTGTCTGCTATGGTACCAGATAAGGAAAAATATCATAGATAATTGTATAATGTGGTTTCCACAAAGCACTTGTTAATATTTCATAATGCTGCTAGTTTGTTAGCACCACAAGACAGGGACTGCTGTCTTCAGTGTGTCTGAGCATCTTCCTGCACGTGGTGGGTGTCAAATAAAGCTGTAGTGGACATACAAATGAGATCCTTGCAGATATGAGGTGATGACAAAACCGTGGTTAACAAAACCATTCAGAAGCAGCACCACTTAACTTGGAGGGTACAGTGGAAGTCTCTGTCCTTGCTATGTTTATCAAGAATTTGAATGAAGATATGAAAGTAAGCATCTAAATCTCCAGATGACCCTAAAACTGGGAAACACAGTTAATGACACTGTACAAAGCAGAAACATAACTGGCTATAATATAAAGACTGGCCAAAATGAAGTTGACATGTAATTAGGAAGACTAGAAAGTTCTACACTTAAAATTGAAGATCAACTGTATAGTAGATGAGAGGCAAGCTACCCTAAATACACCCACATAAAATAATATATGGGTATTTTAGTTGCATGAATGCAAAAGGTAACAGCTGCCATAAAGCTGAAGCAATTTTAGGCCTTTAAAGTACAAGCATCAAGACCTCGATAGAGACTCATGTAACCCTATTCTCCTGTGCTGTTTTGGGCCCTGTATTTTGGATGGGCATTGGTCAAACCACAAGATTTCTAGAAGAGAGCTTGAGACCTGTCACAGGAGAAAAGCTTCAAATGAACAGGGTATTTGGTTTATGTAAGAGAAACCTGAGTAGAGATGGAAGAGCAGTTTTTAAACATCTGATCAGTCCTCATGAGGTAGAAGAGAAATAAATGACATTGGCTGTTCCAAAGGCAGGTCCTGGGAAACAAATGGTGTTAAAGGAGAATTTTGGTTCAATAACATGAAATTTTTAACTATTATAAATTTCTCTACCCCACTCCCCTCAAAAAAATTTTTTTTCTAGAATAGTAGCAGCAGAGTCTGGCTCATCACATTAGGGACATACTTAACACTGGGTAAGAACTACGGTCAGAGGACATCCAAGCTGCTTTCATCACAAAGACAGAATCATGTTTTGGAATATGGTAAGAGAACAAAGATTCATTTATTTAATCTGAATATTAATACCTTTATAAGAAACACTGAGGTCACAATGAGATCTACATGAAAATGAAACCAAAAGGCATGAATAAGTGCTGATAAGTGGGAAATACAAAAAAGTTCTGAACAGTCTTCATGATTTTATGGAAATCCCTGAATGTCAAGCTAGAGCAGATCTCTTCCAGCCAGGGGACAACTTCTGTTGGGCTGATGTTTAAAGCAATTGATGGAATAGAAGTCAGCAGGGTAAGTTAACCTGATAGGAAAGGCAATCTTATAGATGTGCTTGGGAATGAAGTAGGGGGATATCAGAGGAAAGAATGTGGGGCTAGGGATGTAACTCAGTGGCAAAGAGCACTTGCCTAGCATGCATGAGACCCTGGGTTCAACCCAGTGCTTGGGGTGGGGGTAGGTAGGAGGAAAGCATGTATCAGAATCCTACTAAACCAGGATATTGGCAGAGGTGAAGAAAAAGAATCGAAGATAATGTGGATCATATATTTAAATTTCTGAGTTTACAAAGAAGCAGGATATGGCAGGAAAAAATGGGCTTTGAAATCAAGACAGATTGGACTTGAAAAAAATTCCAGCTCTGACACTTGGACAGATCACTTAACTCTTTGAGCCTGACATTTTCTCATCTCTAACAATGCGATAGTATCTCCCACCTCACAAGGTTGTCACAAGTCCAAATGAATTGCACCCTTGATGCTCATTCGGATGAACACTGGGGCAGAGGGATATTGACACACAGCTCCTTTTCTTGCTCATTCTCCGGGTGATGTCGTCCATCTCTACAGCCTTCACTCCCATTGCACCCCTATGACTTCCCAGCTACTGCTCCAACCCAGGGTGCTCTCTTGATGCCTTTAGTCATTCCTGGACAATTCCAGATGGATGTTCCACAAACAGTTCAAGTATAGGAGTCAGTTCATTTCCTCTGGGAAATCTAGCCTCCTCCCTTTCTTAATGCATTTTAGTGGAATCACTTCTACCCAGTCATCAAAGCCAGAGATCTGAGTACTATTATTGATTCCTTCTCCTGAAGCCCTTATTAAATTTATCACCAAGTGCTGTTCATTATACTTTTAAATCCATCCCCTCCACAGAATCTCTATTCAATTTCTATCACTGTTTTCAAAATTCCATATTTTCTCCCTATACAATTATACAATTGAAACACCCTAAAAAAAAAAAAAAAAGAAAACCATCTCTAGTCTTGTCCCTTTGAATCTGTTCTCTACTGCTGCCAGAATGATCCTTTAAAATGCAAATTATGTATGCCTCTGTAACAAATTATTCAATCGCTTGCAAATGACTTCAAGAAAAAACCTAAACTATGTATCTCTTGATGATCTGGCCCTTGCCTGTTCTGCAGGCCCACCTAGCTTAAAAGAGAGAATTATCTTATATTGTCAAAATTAACATTTGGTAAAGTATCTAAATTAGCAATAATATACTTTTTATCAAAGTGAAAAACACTGGATTGAAAATATGCAGATAATAGCAAGGCAGAGGGGAGGCTGGCAAGGGAAGGCTAGAAAACAAGATGCCAACAGTTGGGCTGGGTTGTAGCTCGGTGGTAGAGCGCTTGCCTAGCATGTGTGAGGGACTGAGTTTGATTCTCAGCACTACATATAAATAAATAAAGGTCCATCAACAACTTAATAAATCCAGGGCCTCAGATATGTTAGGCAAGCACTGCAACACCTAGTTGTATTCCTAGCCCAAAGACAAATTTTTGGTGACAAGATACTGTACAAATCTGGGCTGGGGATGTGGCTCAAGTGGTAGTGAGCTCATCTGGCATGCATGCAGCCCAGTTTCGATCCTCAGCACCACATACAAAGATGTGTCGGCTGAAAAAACTAAAAAAAATGTTAAAAATTCTCTCTCTCCTCTCTCTTAAAAAAACAAAAACAAAAACAAAACAAAACTGTACAAATCTAAGCCCAGTGCCTAGATGAGAATGACCATATATATGCAAGTCCAGGTATTTATTTCTACTGATCAGAACATCATATTTTCTATCTTAGCAATTCTCAAACTATCTCTGGTCAAGGATAGTTTGAGAATTGCTAAGATAAAATATATGATAAACTAGAATAAGATAGAATATTGGATAAACTTCCAATCTGTCATGGATCCAATATTTTTATAAAATACAACAAATATACTACTTGAATGTTGTGGCAATGTCAAATTGCTAGAATATTTTCTATATGGATACTCTGCACTTATCTCACCGTGGACATACTTTGAACAGAATTGCCCTCATAAGAGTTCCTCCTCCTCCTGCTGCTGCTGCTTCTTTTTGTTTTGGTTCCCGGGACTGAACTCAGGGACACTTGACCACTGAGCCATGTCCCCAGCCCTATTTTATATTTTATTTAAAGACAGGGTCTTGCTTAGCGCCTTGAAGTTGCTGAGGCTATCTTTGAACTCACAATCCTCTTGCCTTAGTCTCCTGAGCTGGGGTTTGTCTTCTGTCATGTAAAGACACTGTGGTTACTAGCTTATTGGTCCAAAGAGGATAACAAGTGGCACTGGGAACAAAGGACCCCTGCTGCCCACAGTGGCCACCACAGTAGCCCCAGC